AATCCAAGGAAAAATGGCAGGCTTGCTTAACTCAAAGTCATGGAGCACATGTTTGAAAGGTTGAAATGGCAGACAGGAACACTTTTGGGGCAAAAAAAAATTTTACCTGAAAAAAAGGATAAGGTACTCTGCAGGTTTGTTAATGAAGAGATGCCTGCCTTGCTTAGTGGGTAACATACTCACAGAATAAATCCATAATCATTTATCTATATCAATTAGTAGTAAGTTCTGTTTGCACATAATTAGAAACCTAAGGTAATTTGGCTTAATCCCACAAAGGTCCTTTCTTGCTTGGTAAGAATAAACCCAGAGGGAGGCTGTCCAGAGGTATCAGAGGGAACGCTGTGACCCTTCTGTCTGCTCTACCCCATGAGAGGTGTGTCTTCTATCCTGAAGGCCATCCATGGCCCAGCATGGTTACCAGAGCTCTATGTCTCATATCCATATTCCAGGCAGCAGGAAAGACTGAGGAGAGGGGAAAAAAAAGAAAGTACAGTGCCCAGACAAGTCAGCTGCCTTTGAGGAACCTTCCACGAAGTCCCACACAACATTCCTGCTTGCACCTCACTGACCAGAACTAAATCATATGGCCCCTCCTCCTAATCACAGAGGCTGGGAAAATAGTCTTCATTGGGGGTACAAGAAAGTCTCAAAACAATTAAGGTTCAGCTGCTAAGGAAGAAGAAAAGGGAGGCAATGAGCTTCTCCCACAGCATCATTACTCATCCTGATAAATTGCAAAATACTGTTTGTTTTTTTTTCAATTTTTACAGAAAGAGCGGAATATATACATTCAAAACAAACAAGAAAAGCTCCTCTACAATTCTTACTCTCTTATGACTCTGTTCCATCTTTCTACTGTGGACATATTTGGATGTCTTCATTCTAGTGCAATAGGACAGTTCATCTATATGAGAAGAACAGATGTGTAGCTCTGAAAGAAGTTTTTAGTGCATGGTATTATGACTTGTCATCACAGAGACAACCTGGCTCCAGATATAATGAGGCACGAACCCATTATTCAGGTTTAACAGATATCACTTCAGATCCACTTGTTCCCACTAACCTCCTCCATCATATATATATATATATATATATATGTAAAGAAAACCCCAGTCATATGATATCATCTGTAAACATCTTAGCACATATCCCTAAAAGAGGACCCTTTTTTTTAAAAAATGTCCCTACAGTGTCATTGTCATATGTGAAATAATAATTCCTTAATACAAAGTCAGTGTTCAACTTTCCAAGTCTCAAACTTTTCAATAATTTTCTTGAATCAAGGCTCTAAATAAAGCCCAGGGACTTAGCACAAGCGGTAGAATGCTTGCCTAGTAAGCGTGAGGCCCCAACTTCAATCCCAGTACCGCATAAGATCTTGTATGGATTCAGCTAGACAAGGCACAGCCATCTTGAGTTGTAACCACCATTATTGCTCCAGCGATCTGATTTTTGACAAAGATGCCAAAAACATGTTGGAGAAAAGACAGCTTCTTCAACAAATGGTATTGGGAAAACTGGAACTGGATGTCCACGTGTAGAAGACTAAAATTAGATCCCAACTCCTTGCAATGTAAAAAAAGATCAATTCAAAATGGTTCAAAGACCAGCATCTTTGAAACCACTTCAGGAAAACATAAGGTAAACACTGAAGATAGCATCATAGGCAAAAACTTTCTGAATAGGACTCCCAATAGCTCAAGAAATAAGAGCAGGACTTGACAAACAGGATTGCATCAAATCAAAATGCTTCTGCACACCAAAGGAAACAATTACTAGAATGAAGAGACAACTTAGAGGAAGGGAAAAAAATTGCCAGCTATTTATCAGATAAAGGATTAATATCCAGAATATACAAAGAACTCAAAAAATTAAACAACAGAAGAACAAATTATCCATTTAATAAATGAGCAAATGAGTTGAACAAACAGTTCTCCAAAGAAGTATAAATGGCCAATAAATACATGAAGAAATTGCCCAACATCCTCAGCCATAATGGAAATGCAAATCAAAACAACATTCCATTTCACCCCAGTCAGAAGGGCCATCATGAAGAAAACAAACAACAATAAATGCTGGAGAGATGGGATGAGAAGGAGCCCTTGTACACAGTTGGTGGGAATGTAAAATACTGCAGCCACTGTGGAAATCAGTATGGAGCGTCCTCAAAAAACTACTATACCATATGATCCTGCTATACCACTCCAGGGCATCTGTCCAAAGGAATGTAAAGTTGCATGTAATAGAAATATCCACACCCCACATTTATAGCAGCACTGTTCTCAATAACCAAGCTGTGGAATCAGCCTAGGTACCCAACAACCAGTGAAAAAAAAGAAAATGTGATTTATATATACAAAGACCGAATTTTAAAAAGTGAAACTATGTCACTTGCAGGAAAATGAATGGAACTGAAGATCATCATGTTAAGCAAAACAAGCCAGAGTCAGAAAGACAAATTCCCCATGTTTTCTCCCTCATGAGGAATCTAGACCTTAAAAATACAATGACATGAATATAAATGGGGGTCTTTGAGTGGGGGGAACCACCCCCCCACCCAAATATAAATGAATATAAATGGGGAAGGGAAAACAGAAAGTGTGATTATGATTGAATGACTTTCCAATGTATGAAAATAGAATAATGAAACTCATTAAAGATTGTAAAAAAACAAAAGTGGGAGATGGGGACAAGAAAGAGTAATAGAGGGGGTGAATTGCATTTTATATGTAAATATGTACATATTGCAATGAAACCCATTTGTACAATTAATATACGCCAATAAAAATACTCATGCAGCCAACAGACACAGAAACAGAATGTTTACTTACTTAAAACATTTTACAACTATTATATTACTATTATTTCAAATAATATTCTAAATATGAAAATAAATTAAATACTGCTTCTATAAAAATTGTTGTCTCTGGAGAAGGAAGTTAGGAACTTCCTTCCTTCTCCAGAGAGGGAACATTCGCCTGAGTATATGTCACATGTCAAGTGATGCAGCAAAATATGTGGGTGACAGAATCCCCTGCCTAGTGTATGAACAGGATGAGTCTGGTCCCTGATACGTGCATTCTCTTCGCTAATGTTGGCGCTTCAGGAAATCTTGGGTCTCACCAAGGCCCAGGTCCTTGGTTTCCATTCTGTGTTCCCACTTGTAGGATAGTCCTTTCCTTTGGTCCCTGCCTTCTGGATTTGCCCCTGCTCATATTTCTGTCTCTACGGTCAACCTGCCATAGTCACTAATTGTCACCTTCTGTCCTTAGATCCCACCCTTGCCTCTCCCCCTCCCAACTTTGGATCTACCACATTTTAGGAGCTGTCATTTCCAACAGACTCAACACACCATCTACCATCACTACCACCAAAGGCATATGAGTTCATTTATCCTTAATTAGCCACATTAAATTCTCACCACACCTCTGATCTCCTTCTGTCCTGAAGGAATTAACCACCTAGTGAGACAATGAAACAGAGCCATACATCTGCAATAGCAACATTCCTTCTCCTCTTGAATATAATAACCAATGGCAGGTCTGGTATTTGAGGTAATAGGTCCACCAGGGTGTTGAAAAACCAGGACTGTGTGTACTTACAAAATGTATAATGTGGAACGAAATGTAAATTTAGGTTGGAGACAAAGACATATCATGAAGTCTTACTTCATCAGGCTTAGTTTGTAAATTATACTTTTAAAACCCCTATCGTGTGTGTGTGTGTATGTGTGTGTGTGTGTGTGTGTGTGTGTGTGTGTGACACTGGAGATTGAACCCAAGGCCTCGTGCATGCTAGGAAGCATTCTACCACTTGAGCTGTGCCCCCAGTCCTTTTGCTTTTATTTTGTTTTTGAGACAGGGTCTTGTTACCTTTTTGCCTGGGCTGGCCTCAAACTCATGATCAACCTGCCTCGGCCTCCTGAGTAGCTGGGAATACAAGTGTGAACCACCATGTCCCACTTAAAATCCTACAATTGGATCTGTGCAGCTGCAAAAGGAGGGCCTGACAGCACCAGGAATGGAGTTACTTTTCCAGTTTGTTGGCTCTGTTTTCTTCCTCTTCTCTGATCCTGAATGTTCCTGGCTTATCTGTGCAAAATGGTCTTCCAAAGTAATTGTCTCCCTAGGAGTCCCTATCTATGATGTCTTCAGTGGAGTACATGAATATCTTCCCAGTGGTTACCCTTTGCTTGAACTTTTTGTCTTCCAGAAATAGAGCCCAACTCTGGCCAGCTCATCCTGTACTCTGTGAGATGCCCTGGCAGCAAGGGGCACACTGCTGTGCCTGACGTTATGTAAGAACCTACAGAGAAGGGTCAGCGGCTGCAGAAGCCAGAACACTCCAAATAGGGCCCTTACAGCTAGCCCTGTGAGCCACTGGACTCCCCGTGGGTCACCAAATCTCTTGTTATTTTTACTACAGCTCTGGCTGCTGTTGGGGAATTAGGAGTGAAATCCAGCCCTCCCTCAGACTAAGGAACAACAAGTTTGAAAAGTAGCTTGTGACATGAACTGGAGAGGACTGTAGTAAGAGGGGTTGTCCAGTGCTACTCTCCCATAACTTGAGTTAAAGGGTATTGGGTAAGCAAATAGTAGGATTTCCATCTCTACAGCACTTACATGAACAAAGGAAAGAAGGAAGGGTCTAGAACAACTGAAATGTACTCGCCTCTACTCCATTTCAGAGAAAAGCCTCAGCAGCGAGCCCAGATGTTGTAGAAGAACAAGAGAAGCTTAGGGTGAGACATCAGCTATTACCCCTCTTGTTCCACAGTCAGACATTTTCTGTTTAAAAGTAACACTGCAACAGAAATTTTAAGCAGTAAGACCTAAGTGTGAGCCCCAGTGAGTACTGGAGTATGGACACAGAAGGCTCTGGACTCCCAACTACCCCAGTCTGGAGTCAGCCAGTAGGCAGGAGCCCCCCCGCCACCCCTGCATTCACTGGTTCTCTGGTCCTGCACTTTCCGTCTCCTTTCATCCCAAGGCACAGACCCTCTCTGCCCTCACCCCGTGCTGAAATTCACCAGTCCCTGCTTCCTCCCACGCCCTGAACAGGGCAGAACAACTTTCAAAGCTGATCAACATCCTTCTGTCTCTGTGTCAAAATTTTTTACTTCTATATGTATTTTCGACCTTATCAAAATAACAGGGAGAGCAGGGCAGGGTAGTGGTGCACGCTTGTAATCTCAGCTACTTGGGAGGTGGGAAAATTCTGAGTTCAAGGCCAGCTGGGGCAAACAAAGTTAGCAAGCCCTGGATTCAAGTCCCCCTATTCCACACACACACACACACACACACACACACATACACACACAAATGTGGAGAGGCAGGGATGACTTTATTACCCTAACTTCATACATATATGGGAACAATGTCCCAGAGAGGTATGGGATTGGCCCAAGGTCTGTAAGGGTTCCTAGCAGAGACAGAGCTGGGATCTCTTGGGTTTAGGTCTCCCTCAGGATGCCTTTTGATCACACCCAGGGTTGTTTTCTCTGTTAAGTCCCAGGCTGGATGGCAGCCCTGGTCTGAGGCCTGTAACCTCAGGATGATGAATTCTATGAGTTCTCCCACTCTGTCTGAACACACTGTTCCCACTTGACTAGTTCAACAGGGAAAGCACGGGGAGCACAGCTGCAGCTCCTGTGCTTACCCTACATGGACTCAGCCTAGGGAGTTATATAAGGCCTTCTCGGATTCCCAAGGAAAAGTTTTAAAGCAGCAGTAGAACCAGGAAGGAGTCAGGAGTTAAGGCCAGCTTCTGTTTGCATCAGAGAGCAAATCATAGCAGAGAGTGAGGAACACAAAGTTCCCAGACTGGTCAGTCAGTGGCTGAAGGAATCTAGACCCCAAGTTTCCTGACTCCCTGTGCAAAGCTCTTTCTCCTTCAGCTAAGACTGTTGCTTGGACTTCAAATCTCCTTTGAAGACTGAGATTTTCAGTTGTTTTCTTAAAGCTCAGGAGGTACGTGGGTGTAGAAAGGCAAAGCTGTAAATCAAATGTGGAAAATAAAGGTGGCTCTTCCTTCTCTGTGTAAGATCCTGCTGTTTCCTTCTTCATTATGCCTGATGCAAAGATTAGAAAATGCCCATAGTGCTTCGTACCTAACGCATGACACCTTTAAATATCCTGCGACATCTTTCTTGAAGTAGATGTGAGGACTAACTCCAAATCAATGAGATTTCCTTTTTCAACTGGGATCAAACGTCTGAGAAAATGGAGAGCTGAGCCATGCTCAGCTTTTCCCCGGGAATTTTCTTGAGCGACCATGGTATAGACTTTGAGAAGTCTTAGTGGAGAGATTGATGCTCCGTCCCAGTGAAGCTGGACTCTTGGCACCTGCTCTAGCAAAGGCCATTATCCCTTGTCACCTCTCCCCTGTGGTGATTCAGAGGATGTTGGTCATTTCTGGGGACCCAAATTCCCTTCCCGCTATAAGAAAGCCAGCAGGTCTTATTAAAACCCACCATGCCTCAGTTGGAGAGAGACTCAGAGCTGCCCCCTGCTCCTTGCTGTTCATCCACAAACAGCAGACCCATCTCCTTTCCAGACCAGATGAGTAGGTCCAGTGCATTGGTGGGAGGACCTGCCCCTCCTCCTGCTTCCCACTTTTCTGGACTGCATGCTGGTGCCAATGGCTACGTAGAAAAGAGGGATGGTGAGTCCTGCTAGGGAGAAAGATAATCAAATTAGGAAATCTTTCATTCTGCAATAAAAGGTTTTTCGAAACAATCAAGGTAAACAACTAGTTGAGCAATATGGTTAAGGGGCTTCCAGGCAAGAGTAAGCCTTTCAAGCAAACCGATTCTCCTGTAAATGACCCATTCTCAGAGCCTCCCTTGGTATGGAAAGCCAGAAAAGACAGAGTGAGAAATACCCTCAAAAGAAGGCAGGATGCCCAGGAGTGATGCGGGAAGAGTCCTCAAAGGGCTCTTTTACCTCCAGTTTATCTTACCTGGATCCATGGTATGATGCTGGCAGGACAGGATCATCCTATCCGTGATGAAGCTCAATTATCAGAGTTCCTCAATTCCAGGAGCCTGGCTCCTCCCAAGGCTTTCTAGCTTGTTCCATGTTCATCCATTTGTTTTCCTTTTCTTAAAGAACCTTCCTCCCCCATTAAATAAATTCCAGCAGGCAAAATCTGAAGTATGCCAGGTGGAGATGTGGTAAACAGAGTTACATAGGCCTCTCCGAAGTGGGTCATGGGTGAAAATGCAGGTACTCTTTTACTGGGGTATGTGAAAAGTCCACATCTCCCTATTTTCTATACATCAGCCTAGTTTCCATTTGGGAGCCCTGCTGGTGGTACACACACACACACACACACACACACACACACGGGATGGCTACTTGAGTGACGTCAATTGCTGCAGGAACTGAGACTCCCAGAGCATGTGACCCCATGTCCTTAAGCATATCATATTGCCTTCCCCTGTGAGGACTGGCTGCTGCTGTGGACACCTGAACCTAACAAGCATCACAATCCCTGCCCCAAACACCCACGGGCCTCTCACTATAAGAGAACTTCCTCTTTACTAAACAGCTTCTCCAACACCCTCCACTTCTCTCAACCTCACCATCCTTCCTGTGTGGTTGTAATGGGTTTTGGTCTGCTATACCCGTGGCAAGGTGATTAACCAACCAAGTAATAATTTGTCTTTCTATGTAGCAGACAGCCCTGATCAGCCAACTCTCCCAAGAAGAGAGAGGACTTTATATCAGGTTTCTTTTACTGCAAACAAGAAAAAAATGCAGAGGAAAAGCAAACATTGCAGTTCCATATTAAAATAGAATGATTGTTTTTACAAGGCTACATTGTCATCACTTGTAGCTGATCTTGACTCATCTTCCAGCCACTAGAAGAAAAGGCTGTTGTGAGCCAGGAGAGAAAGGCTCTGATGAATTTAGATTTGGCGTGGGAGATTCTGCAGTGGAAGGGTACAAGTTGCATATAAAGGAGAGCTCATTACTAGGCTTGATCCCAGGGCCAGTGGAAAACTCCCTCTGGAAGACTCTTGTCACTGCACAGTTGGCCCAAATATAAATCAGGTTTGTTTTTCAGCCTCAGACTTAGTGAGTCAATATTTGCAAAAGTGCAGCAAATATCACCGCGTGGAAATGTTATTATTGTGCTGCTATGGCCTCACTTTTATTGTTGGCTTATTATTTTTGATTCCAGGTTTATTTTAAGGTCTCTCATCAGGTACTTTTCAACCTGGTATAGCATGGGACATTGTTGGGTGAAAGCTGCCATACCTCCCCTTCTGATATCCTGAGCTGGTCAAGTAACCCTGACTTTTTCTCATTCTTTTAGCAGATTGCCCCAGTTCCACAGGGCAGGAGAGCTGGCATTGTGGGCATTTACCCAGTGAGGTGTACAAGAATAGTCCAGCCAACTGTCACAGAGCCCAGCATTTAAGAAGTCGACTCTCTGTGCAGTTCGGTCAGTACTCTGCTGGTTTTGTTTGTTTCCTTTTGACATGTTACTTCCCCATTCAACTGAACCCATTTCACATCAACAGAACAAGCAAGTGTTTAAAAGGTTTTGTGTATAAATTTGTAATGAGTTAGATTCAGTGATAATCAGATCTTTTGGGAAAATGAGACTGTCTTAGCATCCTTCTTAAGGGCTTTGTAAACTCAGGTTCAAATCTAGCTGAGTTTCTATACTCCAGAGGATTTACAATTTCTAGTTCACATTTGAGTGTCATGATCTCTCCCAAAAACACTCTCGCTAATGATTTAAAACTCCCCTTATATCATCCATCTTAGTGTCAATCCCACTTGAGGGACTGAACAACTGCTTCTCAGTTAATTCCACCTCTCCATATTCTTGTTGTAACTAGCATACTCCAGAAGAGAAATAAATCCCTCCTGAATCGACTTGCTGGTGACAAGTAAACACCATTTCAGGCCTGCAATGAGCTTTTTGTCATTATTGTTTTATACCTCAAGAATCCACAGGTGCCTGTCTCTATATTTAATTGTCTCACATTTTTAAGGTGTTGGTAACACCACCACCAAGTTCACCAGGATGTTTGCCATCAGTTACTCATCGTAACACATCTAGAAGGTAGGTAGCTGATAGCACCAGCATTTTATGGGCCAGGAAACTTATGACGACACACAGGGACTCTGAGGCAGAACCATAATCAGAATTCCAGAGGCTCAAGCTGGCCATGAGCAAAGGCACTGAACACCAATGGAGTTAGGTGGATTGTCATCATTTGATGATTACCATAACTGAAAGCACTACCTTCTCTAGAAAACCTTTTTCATCCTTTTCAGCTTTTTTTTGAGTGCCCCTCCTCCTCCACATTCCATCTGAATGCTATGTTGATCTCCAACCATATCTTCCTCTGTGGTCAATCTTCCCCCTGGAATATTATCTCCTTATGGATACTCTTGTTCGTATTCCTCTACTACTCCTGCCCCTGTGCTTATTCTCGTATGGGACTGAGACTGTTCCGTCCTGGGGCCACCATTAGACTCAGACTGTAACTAAGGACAATAAACTAATGTAACAGCGAACCAGGATGTGTTCCTCAGCTTGACCCCAAATGGACACAAGGGCTAACGCCTCCATGTTCTGTCTTCCCTGAACCAAGCAGGAAGCCACTGCTTCCTGGAAGCCCCCTGGCAGGAGCCTTGCAGGGCAAGTCCGGCACTGTGGACAGCGCCTCGTGACCTGGCAAATCCACGCATGCAGAAGCAGGCCTATGAGCTAATCTTGACTATGAGTGCCTGCAGACTGCTGGGTTGCCCTGGGGAGCTGGCAGCAAGGATAGAGCTGAGTAATCAGAGTATCTGATTATTTACAGAGATGCTGCTCTGCTGTGACATGTACACATCTGAGATCACCTGTGAATTTGCAGCTTGCCCTGCAAGCTTCCCACTCAATCTGACAATACAGAGAAAACCAGCAACATGTGTTCCCCTAAACGTTCAACATAGAACATTTGGGAAATGAGAGAGATTACAAAACATCAAAAAGTTATCTATTATCGCAACCCCCACAGGAAAAAAAACATTAACCTGTTGGTATATTTCTTTCTATGCTTTTTGTCTGTAAAAATTTTTTTTTCATGTCACTGAGATTGTACTCTTATAATGACTTTTTCACTTAGCACCAACATTTTACATAGCATTTTCTGAAGTTGTGAAAAATCCCAAAAGCATGAGGCTAGGGGCAATATTTCATGTCACAGAAGTAGTCTGATAATCTAACTGTGCTCTTATTACTACAGTTGTTCATATGTCATGTTAACACTTTTGGAGTGTGCAACTCAGAAACCTGTCTCAAATCATTCTGCTGAAGTCTTTTTTTGGAAATAGACAAATAGATCTTCTTTCACTAAATATAATTTGTCATGACAAACCTGTTTTTCAGTGATATAGAAATGGCCTGTGGGCTAACCTTTTTAATTTCCCATTGGTATTACCTTTGATCTCTCCACTTAAAGGGATGGTAGACCTTTTCCTTGCCAGCTGACAGCTTCTCATCTAAAGCACCCTGCCCTTCTCCTTTGGGGGCTTTACAAGATGCAAAGCCTTAAGGTCACTCCTCTATCAATGGGAGAAGTTGGTGGATAAATACCCCATTTCCTTGCCCATCCCCAAGAATGTTCGGAAGTGCATTCTACTCAGTTTCTTAACAGTTTCAGGTAGGACCAAGCTCCAGAGTCTCACCTGGGTGGTAATTACCTTCCTTGTCTCACTGCCTGCACTTCTCAGTGACATTTTCCTGAGATCTACTTGTAAATAAATACCAGGACGTGGGGGACAGACCCACCAAAAACACTCTGCTAAAAGCTTATCTAAGAACTAATACAGAGGAAGAAAAACAATATTTCACGGTTGGCCAATAAATTATTTACTGCTACAACTCATGTGCTCGGTGTGGAAAAATCTCAATGCTTACGTCATTAAAGACTGGTGGAAACCCTCCCTCCTCCCTGGGCATCCTGACCCCCTTGCTACCCCTTAGAGAGTCCTCTCCTTCACTGTGAGTGAAAACAGAGCACCAGTCCCCATTCTTTGATGACCATTCTTTAGGACTCTTCAGAGTTAATTTAGAAACAGCCTTGTCACTTTCAGCAGTTGATCAGTGGAGAATCTGGAGTCATTTGAAATGCCAGTGGATTTAAACAGACTAAAGTGTCTGCTAAATCCAGCCAGTAGGTTCAGTCTTTGTTTATACAGCTGTGGCTTGATCTAAACCTGCAGGGGCAATGAAGCATCCCATAAATAATTCACTAAGGAGTGCTTCAGGCAGATTCATGAAGCAATGAATGTTTTAAATAAGTCAGAGAGCCAAAGACTCTTTGAAATCTCAAACTGTTTACAAAAGAATTAAGATTCCTCTTTCTGCATAAAATAAGATGAACCCTTAGCACACTTCTGGAACATTCTCTACTAAGAAGGGTTTTATAACCTGATGATTAAAGAGCCTATGGTCCTTTCCTGTTCTTTCTTTATTTGGATGTCAGTTCCCACTCTAGTAGGAATCTTCTTCTTTTTCAGTTCTTGCTTTTATGCTAGTTGACATTTAGAAACAGATCGAAATCTTTAGAGGCTAACTCATAGTGAATCTCTTATTCCCCACTGAGACACATTGAAAATCAGCACAATTCTAAATCACTAATTAGTACCGTCGACCCCTGGTATTCTTGGGTTCTGTGGCTGTGGATTCAATTAATCATGGGTCAAAAATATTTTTTTTAAAAAATTGCGTCAATACTGACTATACACAGATTTTTTTTCCCTTTTTCTTTGACTCTTGTCATTAGTCCCTAGACAACAGAATAACTATTTATATAGCATTTACATTTATTATATAAGTAATACAGAGATGATTTAAAGTTTAAAGGGAGATATAAATAGGTAATATGCAAGCACTGTGCCATTTTATAAAAGGTTCTTGATTATTGTTAGGTTTTGCTATCTCCAGGGGTTGGGAGGTCCTGGAGCCAATTCCCCATGAGTACTAATGGAAGACTGTATAAGAAAGAGAACAAAGTTCTGATATTTCTTATGACAAATATTTTTATGCTTTGATGATGTTTTGGAAATATTGAATACATTTATATGTTTTCAAAAAATATTTCTTTCCTGGCACCCTAAGTGTATAGGAACTCCAGCAGCAACACTTCTAAGATTACAGACCAGTTTATAATTCAGAATTATGAAGTTGTAACTCACACATTCAACTATATCCCACATCTACACTAACAGCCAGAGATTAGAAACAAAGAATTCAAAGCCACCTCAAGTCTTTCCCTGTGGGCAGTATTCAGACAGGTGGAGAATTTATTTTATAGGACAGTAAGTAGTCTAGTCAGGTGGTCAAACCACAGTGTTACCAGTGAACACCAAATTGATCTACAGATCGACAAACAAGTGTAACTAGTTTCTCTCCTGGCTCCTAAAAATAAATTGTCCTCAAAAAAGTCACCAGAAAGGTCTGGCAGCACGGCCAATTTATCAGCACTTGTGTGGGATCTGTTAGCTGGGTTTGGTATCAGAAGACGAATGGCAGCAGACTATCCAACCATCCAAGGGACTAAGATAAACATCTAGTCTTAAGGCTGTTTCAATAGGCAAGGAGAGAAATTCAACTCTATGTAGCTCAAGAAAAAAAGAGGATAGTAGTTTATGTATCATGTACCAGGGAAGTCCAGGGTTTTCAGCAAAATACAAGGGACTGTTGGGTCTGGAGACCTAACGGACAGATGAGTGAGTCAGTATCCCACCCCCCGTGGAGAGCACTATGAGCCCTGCACCCTGAGGAGGAGCTACATGGTCTCATAACTCTGTCACAGGGCTGATAAACCGAATACTCCCAAGGCTGTTTCTCCCAATAAGGGGCAAACAGACCAGCTCATCAAAGAGAGCCCGCATGCATGAATCCACAGCCAACAGAAAGAACCCACCTAATCCTTACCCTAGCCCAGAGTTAAAGCGTCCATAAGAAGCCCCAGCCTTCACCTCAGCAGGGAGCCACCAGTTTCCAGGCTCTGCTGCACCGCTCCAGCTGCAGCCTTTTCTTTCTCTAATAAATCCTACTTTGTGTGCCGACCTTGTTGTCTCATGAGTCAGTTCACTGACTCACGAGCCAATTCTTTGGCCTGGACTGTGGAGGCAAGAACTCTCAACACCAGCCTGCAACAGGACTTTAGGCAAGGCCGTATCCAGGAGCTCCAATGCACTGTATCCAGTAATGCTCCTTTCTTCCTCCCTCCCTAAGCTCTGAGTGCTGGAGTTTGGATCATTCCCAGACTAGAATCTTTTCTCAGCTCCAGAAAGTCTTAGGACTGTCCCTGGTGGGATAGCTTGTGCCAATTGTCCATCCCTTTGTCTCAGGCTCTCAGCTTAGGGCTCATGCCCAGCCCTTGGTTTAGAGGTAGGGCTATCCACATACATATGTCCACGGAATGAGAGATGGATGGCTTCCTAAGAGATGCTTAGAAAGCAAGGAAAGGTATTCATAGTGATTTACATCAGCTAGAAACTGAAGGCATCCTCACCATATGTTTTAATGCTCAAAGCAGCAGGCATAGACCCTCATCTCTAGTAGATATTCTCCTCCACTTGTTGAATAGTTGATTCACTGGTATAAAAAGCTCAAAAACCACTCAAAAGCTAGGTGGTTTCCTCTCAGCAAATGCTATGACATGGTAGGGTATGGAGTGAAGACAGAACCTCCCAAAAGGGCAGGACTTATATACACACTCAAGTTATTAATGAGCCTTTGTAGATGCCTGCCTATTTCAGAAAGTATTTTAACTTCAAAGATAAAGCCCAAAGTATATGTCTTAACAGGAACAGTGTAGTCTGTGATCAGAAGATTTCCAAATTCTTTGTGTCCCACTTGGAAGAATCCATAACAGGTCATGTGGGTGTAAATGGAGTTTATTAAAAGTTAGGGAGGGGAAATACAAAAGGGGGCATGGTGGGCCCAGGTAGAAGCCTGAAGCAGAGACCACGTGCTTCCCTTTCCAGGTGCTTTTAAACCTTATGCTGATCTATGGGAAGAACCTGATGTTTCCCAACTAATAATTAATGAGTGGGGAGGGGCACGGGTGGTCCCTGGTCCAAGCAAGGGCAGTCCAAGCTGTCCCTGAGCCAGGGCATGGACAACCTACACATACATCTGCAGTTGAATAGAAGGCTCAAAGGAAGAGAGAAATGTTCAGTCTGAAATATAATATTAAGTCAGCTATTTTCTATGAGTCCCGAACTTTCCCCAACTCTAGCCTGTGTCAGATGGGCTGTGAGAGCTGACTGTCTAGATATCCAACAAACTAGAAGAACATTCAAGTGGTGAATTTGTGGCTGGTCCTACATATGGGTAGTAAGTAGCTACTTACACAATATTTTGAAAAGTCTCATAAGCACTCTGAGCTCTATAATTTCTTCCTAGCCAATAAACCAAAGCCTGCATGGTGGAGTATTATTTTTAAAAAGCAGGATGGGTTCTAGTGACAACTCTGCTATTAATAAAACTCTGTCTCTCTCAGTATCACTTGCCTTATCTACAAAGCAAATAGTCCTCTTCAAGCTCTAACATTCTGTAATCCACAACTTACTGAGTTCTCCAACAGAGCAGTGATTCCTACCCTTATTGACAGATTAGAAATAGCTGGAGAACTGTTTTCTAGGCCACAGCCCCAACAAATTAAATAAGAATTTTATTTTAGTGATGGGACTTAGGCATCTATAGATGTTTTAAATTTCCTCAGGTGACTCAGCATGCAGCCCAGGTAAGGACTATTGTGACCTATTCTGTTTCACTCCACAATCTTCTAGAAGAGCAATGGAGTCCCAAAAGACTGACCAAACACACCTCCCAAAGACCCCACCTACAGTCAGTATGGCCCTGAAGCCAACAACTACTGCCATAAACAACTACTGCCATAAACATAAAGCTACTAATGAAATTAGTAGCTTTCATTAGTGCTCCTAGTTCTACCTGGCACTGAGCCTGTTCCAGAGAAAGCTCCCAGAGCTAGGACATTATTATTTTTGGTGCTGAATTCTTAGTACCAGTCATTTACCTACAACCATTTCAGCATAGGATGTTTTTCAGTATTAAGAGAATAGAAAACTTCAAGATACATTACATTTTGCATAAAGAACTCAGAAATGAGAGGCACCCAAGTGATACTTTAATCATTTCCATCCTCTTATATAACACATATTTTTGTTCAATTACATGAACCGTCAAATTTGTTCTAACATCAAATGCACTGAAAAGCAGGGGAAATATATCACCATCAATTAGCTCCTTTTGAAAAAAAAAATCATGATCAGTTGAACTTTCTATGGTTCAATAATACTAACCAGCATTTATGTCACTTTTGATGACAGGTTGGTCTGTTTCATTGAACCGTTTCTCCTAGGGAAAAAAACTGCTGTACAATTTCATGATTCACATCCATCCCTCCTGCCACATAATCACATGTTCCATGAAAGCCTACCTCCTACGTACAGGGACTGGCTTTTCACCTCTGTTATTTGTTCCCTTTTGCCTTTGCTTTGTGGGCTCGGATGCCTTTGAAAACAGCAAGACAGAAATAACCAGGGTTGAAGTTTCAGGAAGTTACCTTGTATTCACCAAGCTCCATTCATTTACAGGCTTCTAAAAATATATCTGATAGGATTCAAAAGCATGATAAAAGTGAAATCAATGAAAAGTTTGAACCCTCTTCAGCCACCCCCTTTTTTTTTCTAGGAATTAAAATAAGGAAACATTGTGATTAAATACAAGCCAATGCCTCTTGATTAACCAAAATTAGCATCATTTATTTTCTTCAGAGAGGCTTGCACCCATGAGATACAGTTTTTTTTCGCTACACAGAGGACCCGGAGTATCAAGGAGGTCTTATGCATATTTTACATGGCTTCAAACCCACTATGTCCTACACTTCATTATAGATTGCACTTCTAAAATCTATACCTTCTGCCAAATCCTTCCTATAGGTCTTCCCATAGTGATTTGAGTTTTGACATCCCTTAGGTAATCACATTACCAGATAACACACAATTTCCACTCTGGTGGCAGTGCTTGCATGGGGTTGAGTAGAAGCCATTCCTTTTAGAAGGTGCAAGGTCATCCTTGTTTCTGCCACTCCTACTTTACCTGCTTCAGCTGCCAGCTCTTCTCTGGGGGGCTCACACTTTGGGAAGTATCTCCTGCATTAAAAAAAAAGGTTCCTTGAACCTTTCTGGGAGTTTTAAGGAGCTGGTATTAGTCAGCTTTTCTAGAGAGATGGAAACAACAGGATAGATAATAGATATATATGCTATGCTACATACATACACACAGGGATAGACAGAGTTACAGACATGCATCCTATACATACATACATATACACATGCACGTATGCATGCACACACAGGTAGAGGAGGGGAGATTTTAAGGAATTGGTTCATGCATTTGTTAGGACTTGGCTCATGCACTTAAGTTCGAATCAAAGGACAGGCTGGCATTTCAAGTAAGAGATTATCTTTCACTTGTAAATCTTCAGGCCAGAAACTCAGATGGGCTGTCTATGTTGTGGTCTTGAGGCAAATTTTCTTCTCCTTTGGGAAACTTTAATCTTTTCTCTAATGTCTTCAGCTGATAAAATGAGGCTGTGGGGGGTGTGTCCTTTAAGAGGGTTGAGACCTGCCCTTTCTTTTTTCTTTGTTTCATGGCCATTGTATGGTGAATGGGCCTCTTCTGCCCTGTGCTCCTACCATGATGTTCTAGGCCACCATAGGCCCAAAGCAACAGGGCCCAGCAACCATGGATGGAAACCTCTGGAACCAAGAGCTAAAATAAACCTTTCTTCCTTTCAGGTTGATTATCTTGGGTATTCTGTCACAATGATAGAAAGGTAATGCAAATACACTTTAACAATCCTCTTAATGTTTTAGATATTCTTGATTTAGTTTCTCAACCTCTAATAAATTGGAAGATTGCATTCACAAATCTGGGTTTCCAGCTTCTCAGGAAAAAAAGTCTATTTAGCAATAGAAGACTTGCAGGACAACTCTGGACTGCAGCTCACAGGCTGAGTCATGTGCCCTTTGGGAGAGGTCTTAGACTCTCACATTGGCCACCAGTCCTCCACACTTTGTTTAAATGACCATCTATGGGTGCTATAGATGCTGAATCTTAGATTCAGCTGAATCCTGTAGATGCTGAATCTTGGAACCCCTGATCTAAGCCATTCGGGACCATAAGTTCCCTTTGTACCCCACCTGCCAGTCAGACTCCTCCTATGACATCATGCTAGAGAGCACTCCAGCAACTCACTGACCCCCATCTCCCAAGTTGATAATGAAGGTCCATCTCTTCAGGGGCTGTGGAGCCATGTTCTAGATCAATTACCGCCTGCAATCTCATTCTGTTTCCTTTTGCCTATCTTCTCCTCTGTTTAAAGGGAAAGCAAGCCAAGACTCTAAACAAAAACAAACTTTCATCCTCATTCCCTTAGAACAAGACAGGGCCTTAATTCTAAGAACATATGTTGCCAGTCCATCCCAAATGGGGTACCGCCTAGAACAACACCAGCAACACTTTCACAGGCTGAGAGGCCCTAGAATTCTGAAATAAAAGGAATTCCACAAGTCAAGCAGGAATGAAGCCCTACTGGTTCCGAAAGAGTTGTTGGATAAAACATGAGAGCTCCAGGAATCTCCCTGGTGATTCGCAGAATCTGCCTACTGCCCACCCAGTCACCTTGTTTGCTGTAGACTTGGCCTCTCTCCCCGAACAAGGTTGCATGGCCTTGACCCTTCAGCACAGCAGATGAAGTGCACATTGCTGGATTGGACCTGAAGAAGATGTGAAATGAAACAAGGCCATTCTTCAAGTGAAAATAGGTATCCACTTAGTATGTCAGCAAATTCTTCCACTTTTCCTATAAGCTGATTGGTTCCTCATAGACTTTGCTGAAAGAAATTTTTTTAAAAAATATTTCACAGACGTTAGTTAATATGTGACTACTCTTCTAGAATTTTGAGAAACACATCAAGTGAGTGCATCTGTAGCTTGTTTCACAGATTGTTTTTTATACCAATAAAGGGTGGGACGCTGTCACCTTTTGAGGTGCCACAACCCTAAGCAAGCCAGGGTTTTCTGGTTAGAACTATCTCCTTACCCTGATTCATGACTAGAAATTTTACCTAATATTTTTTTCGTAGGGGTGTGTGTGTGTGTGTGTGTGTGTGTGTGTGTGTGAGAGAGAGAGAGATAGAGAGAGAGAGAAGGAAGAAGGGAGAGAGAGGGATCATGAGGCATTATTAGCTGCAGTGCAGTTGAGCAGGCACGGGAGTCGGGGGACAAAGAGCAGTAGCTTACAGTAGCTTAGTTCATCAGGGCCTCTGTCTCTTTCAAGAACAGCAGGCGGCCCATGCCCAGCCCTGCACCTTCCCCACTGGGTGGGAAGGGATGCTGAGCCCAGACTCACACCTGGCTATCCAGGGCCTGCACTTAAGTGGCACTGGTAATGGGGTGTGAGTGGGCTCAGGCAGTCCCAGACAAAGGCTCCGTGCTGATGTACAGTTAACCTGGTGGCAGTAAGGACAATAATAAAAACTCATATGAGCATCTACAGTTCCAGGCCTCTGAGGGATTAAGAGCCCCTCTCTTGCTGGGCATCTCACTTCAGAGGCACTTTAGCTAAGTGCTAGTTTGAGGGGTGCTGAAAGGCAACCTAGAGAGCCCACTCTTCTTCCTGACTGGGAAGTCCTGGCCCTGCTATTTTTCCTTCTACTTCTTCATGCCTGGGCAGGTCAGGTCCTACTAGTCTAGGCAGCCTAGGAGCCAGTTCTACCTATAGAAGGCAGAACTGTTTATCCAGAAAAGTATCTTTATTTGTTTTCCTCTACCTTAAAGGCCATTACTATAGGCTCACCTTTGTATCTCATTGCCTGGAGCTGGCCACTGCCCAGTGTTCCTGTCAGCCCTATAGGCTGACCCCTTGTTGGAAACAGTGAGTTCCTTAGACATAGACTTGGAGTATTTTTACATACACTGTTTAAGGGACATTATGATAATACCATGGAGAGGTGGCAGTTGGAGGGAAGTCAGGGAGAAGAAAGCAGTCTTGACAAGCCACCTCAAATCTTTTCATCACATCCTTTGGGACAGACAAAAGAGAAGTGTTGTACCCATTCCACAGGTAGGCTATTGAGGTACACAGACTGATGAAATCCACCCACATCTGCAGTGGGTAGGTCTGGATCAGAGCCTACACTTTCAACTTGGATCTCTTTCTACAAAGTGTTCTCTCTCCGTCTCTTTCTCTCTCTCTCTCCCTCTCCTATCTAGATGTTTCCCTACAGGAGACACAACTTCCATCTAGGTTAAGGGAGAAAGCAAAGAAACCAGTCAAAACTCTTCTTTCTGTCGCTCATAGCAGAGGGAATTGAACAGAGTGGAACAGAAGGAAAGGTCCAGAGGCTCCCAAGCACCAGCCTCATTCTGTCCCCAAAGCCCTTACTGAATGCTAAGACATAAGGTGTGCTAAGGCATGCTTCAAAATTCCTAACAACTGCAGCCAACTAGGGGATGTTCTGACCTGTGGATGCAAGCCTGTCTATACTTGGCAGGAAAATATGTTCCTTTCTATATTATTCCCATTGCTCTAGGAAAATGTAGGAATGACAGAGTTCTTCCCAGCCATGAAGAGGAGGTAGGGCAGGAGAACCAGTAACAGCCAGGGCTTCCTGCCAGCTCTGCTGGTGGAGACAGAGCTCATTTTTATTTTGGCTCATGGAATAAAAACATGCAAGATTTCTACAACTGACCATACAAATATCAAAGGGAGAGGGACATAGCTGGGAAGGGGAGGTCTATGTTAGCACAGACAGAAGGTGAGTTGCAGGTAAACTGTTTAACAATCAGGCACCAGCTCTGCCCTAAGGTCTCCAGTCTCCCCATCGTGGGGTGGGGCAGTTGGTACAAGACCTTACTCACAGACACCAGGTCACTCCAGGCCTCATTCCAGGAGAGGCCGGGACTCACAGTTGAGCTGGCCCTAAGTGTCTACTGATCTTAGAGTGGCTGCAGGACTGGATGAAGCCAGAGCAGAGCAGCAAGGTGACCTGGAAATTCACCTGAGCTCTAAAAGGTAAGACCCTGAATCCCAAAAACTCCCAAAGTTATTAGAACAACCTTGGACCACCCCTGAATTCTCAAGCAATCATACAATCCTACCCCGCTTCAAGACACGCCTTACTTTTCTCCATATCTCCATTTGCGGTGACATATTCTCCTCTGACAGGGTCCTTATAGGTGACACTATGTTCCAGGGATTTAGTGAGATGCCTGAGCAGTCGTTCAAGAATGAAGAATTTGGGTTCTGTTCAAATGCATATATCCCTAAAACATTTCCATGGTAAAAAAGTCTATGGCAAGATGTCAGCGCAGTGTTGGCTGGCAGGCAGAGGCAAGTTGGTTGGATTTAATTTAATAACAAATAAATAATGTTTTACTATGCTTCAAAACTCAAAGTAACATAAAAAGTATCTATTGAAAAGTTTAAGTCCTGACTGGGTATGGTGGCACATGCACCTGTCATCCCAGCCATGTGAGAGGCATAGGCAGAAGAATTGAGCCCCAGACTGACCCTGGGAAAAAACATAAGACCCTACCTAAAAAATAACTAAAACAGAAAAAGAGCTGGAGACATGGCTCAAGTGATAGAGCGCCTGCCTAGTAAGTGCATAGGCTCTGAGTTCAAACCCCAGCACCACCACCACCACCAAAAAAAAAAAAAAAAAAGAAGTTTAACCCTCTCTCTCTCACTCTGCCTCTCTACCTCTCAAAAGAAACTACTTCACTAGTTTTCCCAGTGTTCTTCCAGAATTTCTCTATGCAAATATAAGTAAATATGCAAATATATTCATCTCCTATCCTTTACACAAAATGTAGCAAACCATATACATTGTTTTTCACTTTGCTCTTTTCTTAACGATACAATCTGTATCAGTTTACTAAGAAATTTCTCACTGTAGTTCTACAGTTCACTTCACTAGCTTCCTAGTAGAAGGTCTCTAGCTTGCATTCCTAAACAGAGCTGCAGTGGACAACTTCGTATGCCCATCATGAGTATAGATACCCAAAAGTGAGATTGCTACAAACACAAGAGTGAGTGTCTTTATAATTTTGAGGACTAACCCGATTGTCCTCCATAGAGCTGGCCATCTGGACCTCCCAAACAGGACAGTGCCTGCTATGAAGGGAGATACCTAAGGATAGACGGCTCCCAAGTCAAGCAGCCCTGAGGACACCAGGTGAGGTAGATGGCAGGCAGGAGATGGTCCACACAGTCCCTAAGTGGCACACAGCCATGTGTGAAATAAGTAGTGGGTCTTGGGAAGTTCTCTGTAGCCAGATGGCTCTTTGGGAGAACTTGTTCAGAACTGAAGTTGGCCAACTGCTTAGATTCTCAGGTGAAGAGCTCAAACTTTCTATGAAGTCCAAAAAGGAGGGCTTTGCACTGAAGAGATTTGCAGTGCCAACAGCTCAAACCCTGGTCCTGGTGGGAGGGTAGTTGGGTCACGCGGTGGCAATCAGAGTCATTGGGTCCTATGTTCACTTCTGTCTCCCCAAGGCTGGTCTCCCCTCTGATCCACCTCAAAATTCTTCTTTCTGTCATTCATGGTAGAGGAAATTGAGCAGCATGGAATAGAAGGAAAGGTCCAGAGGCTCCCAAGCACCAGCCTCATTCTGTCCCCAAAGCCCTTACTGAATGCTAAGACATAAGGTGTGCTAAGGCATGCTTCAAAATTCCTAACAACTGCAGCCAACTAGGGGATGTTCTGAGCTGTGGATGCAAACCTGTTAGATCCCTCACCTGGGCAGCGGGTTAGACGATCTTGACCTTGCCTTCCTTCAGGGAATCAAATCTTGAGAATGAAGCCCTTAACAGACTGCAAACTGCTCTGCAAATGTTGGACTGTTCATCCTGAAAGGCAGTGCTAAGTCCAAATGCTGAGAACTGTGGACCCAGCCAGGCAATGAGTGAAAAGTAGGTTATGAGAAACTGAGTCACACCAGTCCAGAGAGGGCAAGCCAGATGGTTTGTGGGAGTACATGTGGTGGTCTGTTGCACACACTGCAGATTAGGAGATGATTGGAAACCCTCTGACGCCTTCCCCCACCCTTGTTGGTCTTAGACAAGTTTGCAAAGACAGGATGCTCTGCTTCTTTGCCATTAGAGGCTGACTCATTTCCCTCTTCTCTGCAATAAGGCACAAAGGCTGAGGCCACCACTCTACCAAGAAACAGCAAATGACTCTAGAGTGGTGTCCTTCCGGACTGTCAGTAGGGCAAATTAGCTATGAATATTCATTCACTGCTCATTTAGGAATGTTCTGTATAAAGACCCTTTTAAAGATGATGAGAATGGGCATAAAAGGGTCTGATTGAGTCCTGCGTCAGCTGGCCCCTGCCCCAGAACACGTGCAATGCTTGTCATAGAGAGTTGGTCTACACAGAAAATGTGGGCTTCACCCTGCAGCTGTCTCCCATTCTCCAGCAAGAATAGAGTAGATGCTGGGACTGGATTCCCAACCCAAATTAAACCCATCTTCTGAAGGGAATATAGCCAATGTTCACAGTTCCTTGGGGACAGATCTGAGTTTGGGGAACCTCTACCTGACATCTCTCCATTTTCTCTCCATTTGTTGGGACCCTGTGCATCTTTGCAGACCATTTCAGATGCTCCAGGCTTCTGGTGGTCTTCTCTGACTACCTTATTTCCTGGGGATATTTCATTCTTCTGCAATCAGTAAGCTGGTGGGTCCCTTCCACTAGGGAATACCTC